AAAAAAAAAAAACATGATCGTTGTCGAAATTTAAAACTAATCATAAAGATCACTTCAGCCCCTCGCTTAAACCGGGTGGCATTCCTAAGCTCTGAGCAAGATTACTCATTCTCTCTTGCATGGCCTGCAGTTTCACACGAGATATTAAAGTTTTAACAGTAAACACAAACTACACAAATACGGTAATAAACACAAATTCTTGTGTTAAGACAAGGCAGTTAACCGTTATTTTGACAGGTCACTCTTTTTTAAACAAAACTAATGCCATGAAATATCATACTGTCATGTATTTTTTAGAGAATGACATTTCAAACTGAAAGTAAGTTTGAAAGTACGCATGTCTGTTGAAAAATTATGGTTGTCTAACCGTTAGGTCTCGCTAACACCACCTTACAAAATAAAAATAATAAACGCAAATTAAAAGGAGGGCATAATAAGAAAAGAAGGAAAAAAAAAAAAACTTTTCTTACCAAAACACTCTTCTGGTGTGCATTCTGATACGCCTCGGTCACCAAAAGAGACAGTTTCTGGATAAAATACGACGTTTATTATGTGATCATTCGAATTGACGGTTTTCGAGTGGCAAGAGAAAAAATTCTTGCAATGGACAACATATTTTTTCTTGCATAAAACTGGCAAAACCCACAGATAAGCCCACATGTTCCTATTTTACTTTTTATATACCAAATTGCACATCACAGAAGGCTAATTTTGTAAATAAACACAACAAGAGGGAGTTAATTGTAATTCCTCAAGTACCAAAAGAAGCTAAAATGTGAAAATTAATTGGTATTTCACTTGAGATGTGAATGGTTCGAACCAACTTACTTCGGCTCCTAACTCCATTGCGGCTTCAGTTATCTCGATACGCACAGGTTGTTGATTTCCCGAAAGTGTTGCCTATTTTTTAAAAAAAAAATATATAGAAAAAGCCAAATACGTAAAGTAAATAATTTCAGTAACAACCGTGTATACTGGAAGGTAATATTCGGAATTGACAATCACTTTTTTTTCTGAATTTTTTTACCTTTATTAGCTCGCCTTCGCAATAACCATCAAATTCAGCTCTGGTATAATCAACATGAATACAGCCATACCATGAATTATATATCAGAATCTAAATATTTGAAAATCTGAATAATTAAAAAGAAAATTAGAAAGAAAAAAATGAAAATGAGTTGAATTAGTGGTCATACGCAGCAAGTTCTTTCTGTACTCGTACTGCCTCAACTTGGACAACCATCTGAGCCTTCTTTACAGTCTCGTATAAATTTTGCATGTTTCCTAATATCCCTGCCTATTATAGAGCAAAATACATCCACAGTTAAAATCAGTGTTAACACGAAATGAGATATTAAGCGAATAAAGAACAAATGAAGTGCCTTTGAGCCATCTTCACTCTTCTCATTGCTATCTTTCTTTCCACCAAATAGTGCATTAACTCTAAGAGATCTTCTTGAACTTCGTCCAACTCGAT